GGCCAGCAGGCTTTGTTAGCTCCCGTTGTTCTCCCCAAAGCCTGGTGCTGGTCTGCTGACCGAAAGGCTATTAGCCAGCTTAGGGTAATTGGTGCTTCATTTTCTAATCAGACGGCTTCAACTCATTTGCAGAGTGCCTTGGAAGTCCCGGCTGTGTTTCTGGACAGGGGGTCGGTCCCCTCTGCCCTTTTTCTGTTGTTACCGCATTTTTATTCTCTGAGTGGTTTTGCTGCTGATAATAATCTAGCAAATTTTAAAAAACTGAACCTGAAATGCCTTGATGGCTTGGCAAGTGTGCCCAACACATGACAGTTTGCTCTGGCGTTTCAGCTATTTCTGGTTTCGATAGCCCGCAGATCCTTTCAAAGACTCTAGGGCAGAGTAAACAGCCATTGAGGGCGGGGGGTTTTCCCTCCTTTGGGTACTTGTACACACAAAAACTCGAGGTAAGTTGCTTCATTTCTTTCATCACCACCAAGTGTGTGTGCCAGAGTGCCTGCAGAGCCGGGTCAGCCGGCAGCCCGGCGTGGCATGGTGTCCCCCACGGCACGGTGCCTCTGTGCAGCGCCGGCTGCTCCTTGAACTTGTGAGAAACTGAGCTGACAGAGGCACTTCACGTCCAGGCAGCAAGCTAGGCTCAGAGGTGAGGGCTCTGTTGTCAGCGTGTGCAAGCACTCGTGTGGGGGCTGGGGAGGTTTTGCTTTGTTTGGGGTTTTTTTTCCCAACCCCCCCACCTTTGGGGTGGGAAGGGGGAGAAGACACTTGAGGTGAACTGTTATTTTAAGCACTTGGTTGAAACAGTGGCTTTTGAAGCTATGCGTGTTAATCCTCAAAATCCAGGTAGGAATTTTCCTACCTGCTGTGCTGGAGCATCGCATCATTAACTGAGAGAGCCAGGAGGGCTGCATGGAACAGCCCTTTAACAGCAGAATCTGGGGTGCTCTGCTTGTAGGTCACCAGTTTAAACCCAGCCTGTCTACCACCCCGGAAGGCTTTTGCAGTCTGCTGGCTTTTGTGCAAGTCACAGAATGATCATTTAATT